CTCCTCCTCCTCCTCCTCCTCCTCCTCCTCCTCCTCCTCTTCCCCCTCTGGGTTGGCGTGTCGCATCGCCGAGACTGGCCCACCCACCACGCTGCGGCGGTGCACGGCAGTCGCTTGCCGGTCCCCAGGCGTCCACGCCCCGAGCCTTTCCCAGCATCCCGCCCTTCCGAGCGGAGCGACGCGCCATCCAGTCGCAAAGCATGGCGCGTCGCCGAGGCTGCCGCCGCGACACGCTGAGTAAAAGTTTCCGACCATGGCAGTGGATTTATTGTGCAGTGCGTATGGGTGGCGCGCAGGCGTCGCGTAGGGCTGCCAGCGCAGGCTGTAGGACGCCGCGCAGGGTGCGCATGGCAGCGGAATTGAGTCGAAGACGCACGCGGCGCATCACCGCTGCCCCCGTCTTCTGGTAAAGTCGCGAGGCATCTGTGGGCGAGTACAGTGGCGACCCATGCCAAGAAACACCCTGCTTGCCTCCAGGGTGCCCTGGGTTTCTTGGGGTTCGATGCATTTTGCTATGGAAAGCGTGACGTTCCCACACCAAATCAATGGAAGTCCTGGTGGTCTCAGGGTTGGATTTCTTGTGTGTAAGATTTCTTGTGGACTGGCCTCCACTGTACCGATGTGGGTGCTGGCCGAGATCTCAGCCGGCTGAGATTACAGAGGGGATGCCGCAGTCGGCGTTTCTCGGGGGAAATGTCGCCAGTTGAGCGCCAGATCCGGGGCCCCGCAGATGGGCCCCAAGCCCTGGTGCTCCCCGCGCTCTCGCCCTTCCAGGCAGCGCCGGCGTCGAGAGTTTGCGTCCGCGCGCGTGTATACGTAGCTCGCTCGGCTGCGGTTGAGTCCCGATTCCGCCCAGTGTGGCGCTTCTCGTGACGATCTCGGGAGTCTCTGGAGCCGTGTTGGGGATGTTTGTCCCACCGAAGAGGCGAGCATGCCCAAATCGTTCAAAACCTTCGGCGGCGATCCCTGAGGTCCTCTTGTGGCCATATGGGGCCATTTGGGGCTGCTGTTCGATCATCTTGGCGGCCACGGCCGTCCATCTTGGTCGTCTCGGAGGCCGCCTTGGGTCAGCTTCGCGGGGGGGCGAAGGCGGGGGCTTTGTGCGCTTTGTGGGGGCTTGGTTGGTGATAGAGATGGGATTTACCCGGGCCCGGCGCGACGGGCCGCAGGGCCTGTAGCAGTCTCTCGGCAGGGCCCAGCAGCGCCGTAGGGTTCGGCATTTCAGGCACCACATCGACGAATCGAGGGGGTGGGAGGGCAGCGGATCTGCAACGCTTGCGGTGAATCACCGAAGCCCCATGCCCTCGTGAGGTCGCAAGGCATGCGTGGGCAAGAGTCGATGCAGAACTCGCTCGGCCGTGGTTGAATTCTGATGTTCCGAAGAGTTGTCGGGACGACCGGGAAAGGAGAGCATGTGAGCGACGCAAGAAAACGAGGTCGTTTGCGTCAACATTGGCGCGTAAGCTGCCCGCGTAAGGTCGCGCGTAAGCGCCCTCATCTCCAATGCAGCTTGCCGCGCTGGCGGCCCGCGTAAGCCACCGCGCAAGATGTCTCGCGTAAGACCTGTTTTCTTTCGTCGCCCACATGGGGTCCAGAGTGAAGGGTTGTCTTTGGACGTTCTTTGGGGCCCTCTGGGAGTCCTCTTGAGCGTTCTTGGAGGCATCCTGAGGCCCTCTTGACCCGTCTTGGCCCCTTGTGACGGTCGATAACCCTAGGAAGCAAGAACCCTTCTGGTAGGGCTTCCTCTATGAGCTGACGATATCTCCTCGAGGGCGCCGCCGAACAGATTCGTTTTGTTGTTGGTGCGAAGGATATCGCTGGGGCCGTTGCTGTTTGCTTCCCAGGGTTAGCCGTTGTAGAACTCGGTCGGTTGCGGTTGAATTCGGATTGTCCGCAGCGATCTTGCGGACCTTTGAGGACTTCTGGAGTGCCGGCTGGGAGTACAGCCGAGTTTGGGCAGGGTCGACCTTGCCACATGAAGGGTGCCTTGCATGTCCTCGCATGGGTCGGAGGTGGACAGACCTCCTACCCTGACACGTCGATTGAGGAATTGGCCGTTTTCGGTTCGCGAGAGGGCGTCGCGGCCGTCATTTTTGCGGGTCCAGGTCCGTCGGTT